CAAATGTACAAATGTGCTTGACACGATGGATAGATGTATGGATTGTGATAAGAGTTGTTACGAGCCCCCAATAAAATGATTTTTTAAAAAAGTAGCCAGTGTAAACCCTATGCAGCGGAGGCTATGGTCTGATAGCTGGCTAGAATGTGATCCTGGTAGGCTGGAACACTCACAAAACAAATAGGGGCCACAGTGGCCTCTAGCATTTCGAAAGTTGTGAAAATGGTACTGAGCCAGATGATGTTTCGATCTGGGGCACACAGGACTGTCATTAGTCAGAGCTGACTCAACAACAATGAACAACTGAAGAAGAGATGGGGATCAGGGAGGGGACTGGGGCCAACTTTATATCCAGCCTTGAGGGACAGCCCCACTACGGAGGTGGCATTTCAGTAGCAATTTGAAAGATAAGCGGGAGGCAGCCACACACAGGTGTGGGGCCAAGTGTACCTGGTAGAGGGAACAGCTGATCCAAAGATCCCGCTGGTTGAGGTGCTGGTCTGGGGAAGATTACCCAAAACCCAGATATCCTTGACCTGCTTGGGCCAATGTCAGCCCCAGTAGGGTCTGCAGGACCAAACAGACATGGCTCTAGCAGCCTCTGCAGTGGCAATAGTGGCACCGAGCTTCATGTGGCTCTGTCTTCTCGAGAGTGGAACCCTGTCATTGCTAGAAACCACACAAACAGTGCCCAGCTGCCAGGCAAGACAGGAGCTCTGCAGAGGCCGGTCAGCAGTTGGGGCAGCGGGGGAGTGGGGGAGAGGGGGCAGTTGAGTAACTGAATGTGTTGAGTTGGGGCAGCGGGGGAGTGGGGGAGAGGGGGCAGTTGGGTAACTGAATGTGTGGATGTGGGTGGGTGTGTAAGGGGGGAAGGAAGTTGGTCTCAATCCATGAGTCACATGGGAGAGAGCCATTCTCTTTCAATCCTGTCCATCTGATTACATCGGGACAAAGTCCACTTGTGCTGGTATGCCCTTATGTCTCTGGAACACTTGCTGCTCACTAATCTTCCCTGTAAACAAAGGACCACCATAGGCTTTGAGGTCAGACAGGCACCGTATCTACTGAAATGCATTCACACTCTTTGCTTTCAATGTTTCATTCTGATAACCTTCTGCTTGCAGTTGTTGATATTGGCTTTCCTTTAAGAAAGGGGGAAAAGTCTCGGGGAGGAGATGAGCCAGTCAGGGTGCGATGTAACAACGATGAGAAATACAACTTTCCTCTAGTTCCTAAATGTTTCCTCCCCGCTCCCACTACCATGACTCGAATTCGACCTTGCAAGGCTGGCTAGACCAGAGGATGTACACTGGTACAGATAGGAACTGAAAATCCAGGGAATCCAGGGCGGATGAGCCCTACAGAACCAGTGGTGTGAGTGGCGAAACAGGCAGGGTAAAGGGAGAGTGGGTAGGAAAGAGGGAACTGATTACAAGGAACTATATGTGACCTCCTCCCTGGGGGACAGACAACCGAAAAGTGGGTGAAGGGAGACGTCGGACAGGGCAAGATATGACAAAATACCAATTTATAAACTATCAAGGGCTCATGAGGGAGGGGGGAGCGGGGAGGAAGGGGAAAAATGAGGACCTAATGCCGGGGGTTCAAGTGGAGAGAAAATGTTTTGAGAATGATGTACAAATGCACTTTACACAATTGATGTGTGTATGGATTGCGATAACAGTTGTATGAGCCCCTAATAAAATGTTTTTTAAAAAAGGGGGAGGGAGAAAAATGGGAGGTGGTAATAGCTTATCAAGCTTCCTTTTAAAATAAAATTATTTAAAAAATAAATAAATAAAAATAAAATTAAATAAAATAATTGTAGTAGGAAGAGTAGAATCAACTAAAAGAGGTGATTACTGCAGTAATGGGAATTGGCAGAACTCACGAAGCGGGTGCGTGAATGACTCAAGACTGGGAACCATGGGACCAAATGGGACCAAGGCTTCCTCCCCAACTCCACGATGCTCTCTTCTTTTGTTTTGCCTTCTCCCACAGCCTCCCTTTCTCTGGACCAGGAACGGTGCCCATGTGCACAGGGCAATTCTCTGGGGACAGCATCCTTGGGTCGTGCCTGAACATCTTTCTGGAGAGTGGCTCACTGTCCCCATCCACCCCAAGGGTCTGGTTTTTAGCCTCAATCCCTCACCATTCAGATCAGCTTCCAGGAACAGTATAGAGTTCAGGCCAATTCTTTACTCATCACAAATTCTAAAAAAATGTATTAAGTGTATGTGCTGTGATAAGGATGCAGAACTCTACATTCAATGAAGAAACTGAAACCAAGCTTTGGACTATGTTTTATTTAGGTAAATGCCACCTTGTTGCAAAAAGGTATCGTGGCAACTTATAAAAATACATAAAATACAATAGAATGAGCATACAAAGACCAGAGTCAGGTAAACACAGGATGCCAAAACGAAGCAAAGCCCAGCAGGAGACTCAATACAGTTGTTAAAAAGGATCTCAAATTTGACTTTGAGCTTCCCAGTGGTCAGAGCAAAGAAAACACTGGTTACAAATTCTTAACAACAGGTAGTTTAGGGTTTGGGTGAGGACAAACCTGGTTTAAATCTGGGCCCCACTGCTTGTTCAGTACATGACCCTGAGCAGCTTGCTTGACTTCATTCGAAATGGAGAAAATATTGCTGGCTTTGGGGGTTCCTGTACACAATGGGCTCTTCAGCCCCAGGAGAGTGTTGCTCAGGCCCTCTGCTGCCCCTTGACCTCACTAAGGTACATGTCCTTCATTATAAGAGTTAGCATCTCTACCCTGAGCTGCTGGACCTCACCCATATGGGTAGCATGTTAAACACATTCAAACTCAGGGCTGTGTGAATCCTACCCAGAGCTGTGTCCTTCTGTTGCCAGAGTGATTCCCAATGCTGCAGACAATCAGGGATGGGGGATGGGGCTGAGCTTCTTGGGGCAATTTGAGAGCCATAAAATTACTCCCCGGGAAAACCACTGGCCTCACCTCTCATGCCACCTTCCAAGGCAGGGAGGGAGTTCCTGCTGTCCTCCCTAGTCTTTGCATTCCAGGCCTGGAGCTCTCCAGAGAGGAGTCAGAGGCAGTGGGCAGAGCCCCTTTGTGTATTCCGTGGTTCAGAAACACCCGAGCCCCATTTCCTTCGCCCTGACAATCGAGGTCAGTAGAGAGACGCTGGCCCTTGCCACTCCAGGCCCTTCGTTGTTTGAAGGAGCTGTTGACACAGGCAATCAAAACCCAGGGGCTGTGAGATAAAGCTGATGCGGATCAGCTTTCCTTGGACGACCACCCTGCCTCCCGTCAGTCAGGATAAGATCAATTATCAGAGCATTTGCTGCTCTCTCTGCATTTATACTTCACTCTGTTCTGAACATGCTTAGAGGCAGTCACTCCTTGGCTAGGCATTTAAGGCTCTTTCCAAGCTGACCCCTCCTCCCTCCGTGGGCCTCTTCTTTGCAGTTGATGTCTGGATTAAGACAAAGGCCACTTCCAGGGTTGCCATCAGAGGGGTATCACAGAGTGGCTAAAGAACCAACCAGCCCTGAAATCCCACCTGCTGTGAACTCAACGGCTGTGGGATCTTTGGTAAGGCTCTTCACCTGTTTTCTCACCTGTCCACTGGGCACACTCAGGATACACCTTCCACTGCTGTTCTAATAGATGTTGCAGGTGCTCAGTTGGCAATGACAGTTAAGATACCTGCCTTTAGGACCTGCCTCTCCATTTCCTGCATCACGTGACAGGCGACTCAACCTCTCCTAGATCCGGTCTGACCTGTAAGATGAAGACACTGTACCCACCACAGACCACATCCAAGGGCCTGGAAGCCGAGGGAGTTATGGGAATGTTTGGGGGCTGTAGGCACATCGTTTCTGATGGCGCTCCTTGTCCTGCCTGCTCAGCCCGTGCTAACTAACGTTCCCTTTTTCAGATGAATGAAGATGCGCCTGAACACTCCTCCCATGGATGGGCTGTGATATCGCGGAGACAGTCTTGTCAAACCCACACCCAGAGCCCAGGGACCGGCGGAGAGCACTCGGCTCCCTGAAGTGGATCAGCAGTGGCCGACTGGGTGAGGGAGCTGGAGGTGTCTACCACTATGAGTCAGGCCTCACTTGGCGTCATCATTCCCTTCGTTTTAGGGGTGGGTTACAGCTTCAACAAAACAAGGGCACCTGACGATGCCCGAGAGAAATGTATTCTACACAAAACACACTGCGTCACGTGGAGGCCTTCTGCTCTTCTTTGGCCTGGAGCGGTGTGCCGCTGACATCAGTAACACGGTAGCTGGTATAGAGATAGTGAGCATGGTGGCAAGGGAGGGTCCAGGGGATGTGTAAAGTCCAGCAGTAAACACCCTTCTCAGGTGCTGGGGCGCCTTGGGTGCTAGATGGTCTACTGGTTCCCTAGGCTGAGCTGCCCCAAAGTCAGGAGGATAAAGGATCTAGACCAAACCCCAAACCAAACCCACTGCCAGCATGCTGCTTCTGACTCATAGGGACCCTCTAGGGAGGATAAGAACTGGCCCCGTGGATTTCTGAGACGAAAGCTCTCCTGAAGCAAGAGTGCATGTGACCTGTTCCCAGCATGACATTTATGCGCCTATCCCCATATTGGTAAAACAGGCAATGGGATTAGATAGCTGCTTCCCAGCGATAAAAATACTGCCCAACATGGGTGAGGGGCTGTCTTGAGGGTCTTGTCATTGTGGGCTGCCGGGTCTGTGGCTTCCGAGGCCCATCAGCAGCACCTGGTGAAGTGGTCCCCGCTTGCCTCCTCAGTCAGCCCCTCTGAAGCCAGGACATGCCCTATCCGTGGGCCTCTAGCCCTTCCTTTCCTTTTTGCCCCTGCCGTCAGGCCTGTAACCAGAAGGATCAACGCCTCTCCCAAACCTTCTTACTTTCCCAACCCCCACTGCCTGCTGGGCCAGCCCACCAAATGACAAGAGGGGACCTGCCCCATTCTGGTACCACCCTAGCCTCAGGCCTAGCTCACGGCAGACCTAGAATGATCCCTGAGTGTGTAGAGGTTGTGGGTTCAAAGGCCCAGAGAGGAGAGTCAAGGCCCACAGGTTCCGAGAGGGACCAGGAAGGAGGCTAAAGCAGTAAGTGACCAAAGGCAAGGGCTCTGGGTGGAGAGGGAGCCTTGGGATCCGGCCCATCTCCCCACCCTGGTGGAGTAGCTGCTGGGCAGGCAGCTGCCTGAAGCCATCTCAGCTGCTGCAGCAGAAACAAATGACGGCACTGGTGAAGAACGGCAGAAAACACGACGGAGAACTGAAGGGAGGGGGCCCTGGCAAAGGAACCAGAAATTTCTCTCAGGGTGTGTTTCCTACTCACTGGTTGAGTGATGGCGAGTTTGGAATGTGGCTGGGCAGCTGATGGGGTGGGGTAGGCCAGAGGAGGAGTGGGGGCTGGGGGCTGGTATGGATATGGGTCCAGGGCCACCAGCAGGCCCAGGCCTCGGGCTTTGCCCCCTTCCCTCGCCCCACACAGACACTTTCCCCAAAGGCCTCGGGTCTTGCATGGTCCTGAGAAATGAGAGAAAAGCGTGAAAACAAGGCAGGCTCCGTGCTAGAGGGTGGGAGAGCCAGGGGATCCAGTCTCCTCCTCTGCGAACCTGTGGACAAACTCACGTGCAGGACCCAACGAAGACTTTCTGCAAAGGGGGCGGGGCCTCCGACTCGCTGGCGCCTCAACCTCCTGTCTGTGAACTAGGGAGAGGCCCGGTACCTCTAAGGGGTCAGCAGGTAAACACTTGGCGCTCTGGCGCAGCGTTAGAGTGGAAGCCATTAGCCACGGGCTACTAAAGAAACTCTATCTCGGCTGCAATGGCCCGTGCCTAGCACTTAGCCCGGGGCTTGGCACCCAATAAATATTTGTGGACAGGGTCCTTAGAAGGAATCACTGTGGGAAACCCCCAGACCTCATTGCTACCCCTTCTCCTGAGAGGGCAGAGGTCCCTGCTCAGACTACGAAGTGGAGGGTGTAGGTGAGCTGGTGGCCATTGTCCCAGGCGTACAACACCCGCTCTTTGGGGTTGTAGTCGACCTGGGTGGTATAGGCATACTCGTTGAGGAAGGGCAGCTGGGGCCGCGCGTCGGTCCCCGTGTGCGTGTCAAAGGCGTAGGCCACCTGGCCCTCGGGCTGGTTGTAAGTGTCCACCGCGTACAGGATGCCGCACACCAGGAAGCAGTTCCCGTAGGAGTTGCGCCGCAGCCGCGTCTTCCACGTGGTCTCCCGGTGCACCGAGAGGTCCTCGGGATCCAGGCGGCTCAGCACGATCACCTCGGGCTGGGCCTGGTCGCGATCGTCCACGGTGGGGTAGATGACCCACAGGCCGCTCTCGTCCACAGCGAAGTCGATGTCCGAGTGGCCGCGCCACTTCCAGGGCGTGGTGTCCTCATACACCACGTCGGGCAGCAGCGCCCAGGAGGCCACGAAGCGCTGCCGCAGGTCGTACTTGATAATGTTCTTGGTGAACGCGCGGTTGTAGTAGAAGGCGCCCCGGTACACCACGTGACCCGTGCCGATCCAGTTGTAGGGCAGTTTGTACATATTGCTCCACCGGCCTGGGGGGTAGGGCAGAGGGTTACACCAGGGTTCCCAGCAAACCCCAGACGACCCCACAGACCTGTGAGGCCCAGGAGAGTTCCGAAGAGCCCTGTAAGTAATTGATTCTAAACTGTACAATGCGCCTGGGGGTACGTGCAAACCGTACCACTAGTGAAATGCTGACCATTTCACTACATCAGAACAGCCTCAGGAGGGAGGCAATATTACCATCCGGTTTGCGAATTGGGGCACTGCCGGCTGATGTGGACACACGGACTTGGTGGTACCCCTTGTGCTCACCGTTCCATCTGTCTGACTGACATTCCCGTTTAACTGCCTGGGGAGTGCCTGCTTATCTTTTGGGGTCTCTAGCCAGGCTGCTACACTCTGGAGAAGGAGTCTTGTAAGGTTACCATAAGTTGGCACCGACCTGATGGCAGTGAGACTACCACCAAGAAGCCTTCCCTGACCTCCCCAGGCCGAGGCAAGGGCTCCCCAGGAGAGCGGCTTGAGGGAGAGGCCAGGTCAAGGCTGAGCTGCTGGAGGAAGAACAGTTAGCAGTTTTAGCCCAGGCCTTGTGATTCCAGGGCTCTCAGGAAATGCCAACTCCTCTGTGCAGCTTAGGAGGGCTGTCCCAGCCTTTTCTTTCTCCAGCCCCGACTCCCTGCCTTCTCCCTTCTGCAGGGCTGACTCCTGCTCCCCTCTGGGGCTCCTTTCTGTCTCACCTCCTCTGGGAAGCCTTCCCTGATCTCCAGGCTGGGTTTCCACAGCCCCCAGAGCCTACCCTCGACAGCTATGCTGAAATGATCTCTTTACGCCTTTGCCTACTCCCTCTCAGACTGTTTCTGGAGGGTGGGGCTGGATCTCCATGTGGACCCTCCTACATGCTGTGGCTCAGGGGAGGGGATCATAATCCCAGCCTTTGGTGTGTGCTAATCATCCTCACTCAGACCTGCAGCTGCTCTAAGGCCTGGGGCCCTGCTGTAAAATGGGGTGATGATCCCTTGCTCATGGAATTTTGAAGACGCCAGGAGTAGTGCCCACAAGGCTGCCAGCACACGCAAGGCCTCAGCAAGTGGTAACTAGGATTCTTGTTCTCCTCAAGGGTAAGTTATATCTGTGAGGCAGGGCCCTGTCTGTCTGTCATGTTTGGGGCTGCCTTTTGGCTCCTGACACTGCACACAGGGTTCTCACACACCCTCCTCGGTGGGCTGACCATCTGGAGTGAAGCTAGCCCAGGGTGTCAGGACCACATGAAACCCCAAGACAAAGGGGGCCCAGCTCCCCAGAGGAACCCTCCCCGGGCCACCCACTTCTTCCACCACCACCCACTCCCATCTCTGGGACCCCGACCTTGCTTGAAGTTTTCCAGGTTTCGGAACTCCACCAGACTGTTTCCATAGTAGTAGTTAGTGACGTAGATCTTGTCATCCTTCGCTTTGGGGTCCTTCATCCAGGCACCCTCATGGCGACCGTAGCTATGATGCCTCACGGGCGCATCCACGGCCCCAAGGGTGCCCTCACAGCTTGCTTCTCTGCCTATGGGGAGTGAGGGGGCACAGAGGTTGGTACACAGAATGCAGAGGCCCCACCCCAAGCAAGAGCAATGATGCCAGGAACATCATCTGGGTCTAACTCCAATCCGTCCTGATATTTTGTTTGGGACCTTTTTGTTGGTTGGTTGGTTGGCTGCCTTCTTCCTGTGATTAAAACAATCCCTGATCCCAGAAGGAAATGTGGACAACTCAGAAAGGGTAACTAGAAAAAGGAAAGCACATCCCCAATCCCCTTATCTGAAGACATTTCAAACCCTATCAGTCTCTTCTCTCTCTCTGTGCATGCATAGTCATGCAGGCATACTTTTAAAAACTGGGATTGGTCTGAAAAATACACTTTTATGTTTCCTGGTTTTTTCCCCCTCCACTGAGCAATTTCTCACATCATGAAGTAGCCCTTGAATGATGTGATTTCAAGGTTCCATCAGGGCCACCAGACAGCTGTCCTTTAACATACTTAACCAGTCCCCTGCCTTTAGTAATTTCCACTTTTCTGACATTAGAAAGCGCACTCACTGGTTAAACCAGTTAGAGCTGCAGCTGTTGTCCATGCCACTGATGGATCCTTCGGGAAAGATTGCTGGCAGCGGAATGCTCTCAGCCCCACAGCAGGAAATGGGTTGAAAGGCTTGTTCGCACAGGTAGCCAGATGCCTTCCTTCCGGAAAGGCAGCCTCGATGGCTTCACAGCGAGGAAGGTTTTGATTGTCTCCACAAGCCACCCCTACAAACGTGGGCATACAGGGAGCCACCGACTGGACAGTGGTTGGTAATGGGAATTCACTTTAAGAAGAATTTGCGTAAGACATAGTTACCTTACTGTCATTTAAATATAGGCACCTTTTTTTCTAAGAAGTCAGTTGGTACATGTTTTAGGCTTCCAGATCGAAACAGTATTCTCTTTCCTATTAATTTTACCACCCTTTCAGAACATATAAAAACTTGTCTTAGTTTGAGGGCTGTACAAAACCAGGCTGCTGGCTGGAGCTGGCTCACTCACCTTGGCTGGGGACTTCTGGGCGTGAAGGTGACACTGTGGGCAGGGGACTGGTGGTGGGAGCCGGAGTAGAGGTGGTGGTGGGAGCCGGAGTAGAGGTGGTGGTGGGATCCAAGGTGGTGGTGCCAGGGGTCACGTCTGCTCCCTCTGAAGACTTAGGTGCAGCCTCATTCTGTTCTGTTGAGTTGGGCTCAGGTGGCCTGCCCTCCACCTTGGGTGGCAGCTGCTCCAGCCAGGAAGTTCCCCTGAGGGCATTTTCTAAGGAGAGAAGACTAGAGCTAATACCCAAGCGCCTGCTGTCACCTTGGGCCTTCCTAGTACCGCCAGGCTCCCAGCAGCTCTGGGAGATGAGGGGGAGGACCCCAAGGGAGTAAGAGGTGAAGGATTTCACATACAAATAGTGGGCTCCAAGCTGGGTGACCTCAGGCGGTTCCCCCTCCCCAACTCTGAGCCTCAGCTTTCTCTGTGAAATGAGCGTAACGAGGCTCACCATGTTAGGCTGTGTGCTGATGAGAGGGACCTGTGTGGACAGTGAGCCCTTTCTGAGGGCGCTATCGGAGAAGGGGTGGATTACTAACTACAGATTGGGTGGTTCAAACCCACCAGCTGCTCCTTGAGAGTAAGATGAGGCTGTCTGCTCCTGTAAGGATCTACAGCCTTGGTAACCGTCTGTACTACAGTGGTTCTTAACCTTCCTAACGCCACGACCCTTTAAGACAGTTCCTCATGTTGTGGGGACCCCCCCCAACCATAAAATTATTTTCTTTGCTACTTCATAACTGTAAGTTTGCTACTGTTATGAACTGTAATGTAAATATCTGATAGGCAGGCTGTATTAGGGGACCCCTGTGAAAAGGTCATTTAATCCCCAAAGGGGTCACGACCCACAGGTTGAGAACCGCTGTTTTATAGGGTCAGGATCGACTCAATCGCAGTGAGGTTTTCTCCTTTACTAAGTCTAAGTACTTTGCCAAGTCTCTCATTTCCTGGATTCAGTTCCAGAAGGCAGAAACCCTTGCCCTACTTTTTAGACTTTGTTCTGTTCCTCTCCAGTTCTACTCCGGCTAGTCCTGTCACCTCTGACCTAGGTCTCTCTGCCCCTTGCTCCATTTCCTCACTGGTCTCCCATCTCTCAGGTGTTCCTGGTTCCCTCCTCTCTTCTCCCACCCCAGCTGGTGATGGAGGGCTTTTTCAGTTCTCATGTTTGGTTTGGGGGCATTTCGGGGTCATCCTCCAACCCCCACACAGCTCTGGGCCAGGATGAAGCAGGACATCCTGACTCAACACCACAGATTCCTCAGCTCCAGCAAAAGAGTGGAGGAGGGGGTTCCAGCCCCATTCTGCTACCTCCTCATCGGGAAATCTGGGGTCAGAAACCTCACCTCCTCGAGCTTCTTTCCTCACCTGTAAAATGCGGTCTATCAGGATCTAAGGGGTCAGATATGGAAACTGTGCCAACAGGGACAATGGAGTGGTAGTGGTGGTAAGGGACTGGCTCAAAGGGGACAGCATGGTCAGCTGGAATGGGGGCCACAGAGGCTCCTAGACTTGAGGACAATTATATACCTGGCCTCCTCTTTTTCTCCCGGTGCTGGCTTCCTCTTTTCCCAGGGACTGAGCCAGGCTCTGTGCGGGGGTTAACCCTCTGGGGGCCTGGTCTTGGCTTCGCACTTGTTCAGGTCAGGGTGCTTGTTCCCACTGGCATAGTCAGATACCTACAGCTGCTCTGGGCCCTTGATGCAGCCAGAGGTCACAGCTCTGGCCCAGTTCAGGGCCAGCAGCTGGCATATGAGGAGCTGGGGGAGTGGTGATGGCCCAGGAGGCCCCCTGAGAGGCCATGAAACCAAGAGGCCCTTGAAGGAGCCAATCTCAACTCCCTTCCTCTTTGGACATGGGATTGAGCAGGGAATATCACCAGAGGAAGTGGGGAGCAGAGGTCTTCCCCAGAGACATCAGAAGAGAGCAGGCATCTGAGGAGGAGAGATGGAGCGGAAATATGAGGGGCTCTTGAAACCTTGCTCTTTTGTTCTTCGTGAATGACTTTGTTGCCCTTCATTGGGATCCTGCAGGGATAATCCAAGGGACAATGGGTTCTTCTTTGGGGTCCTTTGCAAGCTAGTTTGCAAATGAGGCGCCCAAGGTCCCAGTTACTTCTGGATGTCGTGGCTGCCACAGGCAGATTTTCACATTAGAATGAAAGTTCCTTTGGGGCAGGGATTATGCCTGTCTTGTTCCCTGTCCCCTCCATGGTGGTGATGTTACCCCGTCCTCAACAACCCCATAAGGAGCATCATCATCCCCATTTCAGGATGGCCAAAGGGCACCCAACAGGTCGTTGGTGGAGCTGCACTCTGGGACTGTCTAACTGCGAAGCAGATGAGCAGGTCCCTGGAATATCCTGGTCCATCATTCAGTCCCCCACCACCCCTAGATTCCAATCACCCTCCAACTCACCAGCCACAGCCTTGGTTGTCTCCTGCCCGCCCGCCTTGTAGTAGGTGACGCCTCGGATCACTGCCTGCTGCTGGGCCAGGGCCCGGGACTTGGCTGTGGGCTGGGGGAATCGGCCCTTACTGCCCTCCTTCCTGAGATTCTCTGTCTTCAGCCGCTTCTCCTTAGGGGCTTTGGGGAGGCCCCTGTCGACAAAGGTCTTCTGTGCGCCACCGTATTTGTTGGTGTCCTTGCCTTTCTCCCCAGCTGTGTCCTGGGAGAGAAAGCAAATTTGAGACTTGGGGTGTGTGGGAGGAACTGGAGAAATGTAGGAGTCCTGGTGGCATTAAATGTTAACCAAAAGGTCAGTGGTTCAAACCTACCAGGGATCCTGCGGGAGAAAGATGAGGCAGTCTGCTTCTGTAAGGATCGCAGCTTTAGAAAACCACAGAGGCAGTACTATAGGTTCCCTGTAATTCTGAACCAGCCTGACAGCAACAGCCTTGGTTTTTGGTTTTCTTTTAGGAGGAATATTGATGGTGGTCAGCGTGGACCCCTCTCAGGAGGTCATGGAGGCTCAGAGTATGGGGGCTGGAATGGGTCTGTTGCTTTAGGGGTTGATGAAGCATCTTTTAGTCCATGTGGAATGGCTCCATCCATGACTGGGGAGGCCTCAGTTTCCCCATTCAGCTCTCTAGTTCCCCATTTGGGCTTGAAGCCCAACCTGATAAGGTAACTCCTTGCCCCATTCCTCAGGTCCTGTTTTCTCCTCCTCCCCAAGAGGTAGCTGCGATGATAACTCGCTGGGAAGCTTCCCAGCTCTGGCCCTCTTTCTCACTGGCCTTAGTGTATAGGCAGGGGAGAGGCTCTCAGGCCCTTGGTTACAGCAATCAACTCAACTCAGTGTGGCTGGAAATTTCCCAGTTTTAGCACAGAAAGTTCCACTTCCTGGAAAATCCTTTAGTCCTGGGCAAACCAGGATGGTTGGTCACCCTACCCCCGACACATGCAGTTTCTAACGCTTTATGAATTTTGTTCTTTTTCCACTTTCTTTTACAGGCTTCTGATGCTTGGCACAAGAACACAGGGCCTGTGACATCATCCATTGTTAGGCAGAATCTCCGGGAGATACAGCAAGTACAGTATCTAGACTTGCTTCTGTGCCCTTGCCAATACAGGACTCATTCTCGCCTGCCCAATTGGCACTGGAATGAACAGGAAACCAGTTCTGGGCCCAAACACCAGGCTTCCTCCAGCCTTTATCTGCTTCTAGGTGGTTCCAGCTGCAGATACAAATGGCCCCGTTATCCCACATCAGCACAGAAGCCCCAGAGGTGGTGAGGAAGAACACAGGCTTAGCGGTTATGCAGATCTGGGTGCCAGGCCCAGCCCAGCCACTCTCTCAGCATGACCTCTCTCCACGATTCCTCGTCTGACAACTGGCCAGTGGTCACCGCTCCTCACAGGTGGCTATGGGATTAGCTGAGATAATGTCAGTCATATTTTGAGTACGGATGCCACAGGTGTCAGCTGCCTTTTACCCAGGCTAACCTAAAAACAAGGACACTGTGGATGTGTCCTGCTGGCCAAAGGGACAGGATAAAACTCAAACTCAATGCCATCGAGTCAGTACCGACTCATAGCGACCTTGTAGGACAGGGTACAATTGCCCCTGTGGGTTTTCAAGATGGTAACTGCTTACGGAAGTAGAAAGCCTCTTCTTTCTCCTGAGGAGTGGCTGGTGATTTCGAACGGCAAACCTTGCCAATAGCAGCCCAACGTGTAACCACTCTGCCCCCAGGGCTCGTGAAGGGACAGGAGTGGGGTTGAAGTCTAGTCTGCACTCATTTGGTGAGTGCCTGCTGCAGGGAGATGCCTTTTTTATCATTCATCCACCCAGAGAGGGCTCCTCTTCCTAACTTCCTGCTCAGTGGGAGAGTCTGGGTGGTTGTAGTTGTTGTTGTTGTTGTTGTTGTGTGTGTGTGTACTTTGTCTGCCTAAAGAAAGTGCCATTTCCAAATGTGTATAAAGGTGTTTTATCTGGCTAGTGATGAAACCAGCATCCCAGCCCCCTTTCTGCTTGGAACTTGAGTTGTCCTTGTGGATGCTTGCAGCAGGAGCATCCTCACCTCTGGAGGGGTTGGATGAGGAGGTGTCAGTCTGCGGGGATCCCTGCAGCATTGTTCACCTACACCGACCCAGCTAGCCTGACCTAGACAGGGGTCCAGCGAGAACAGGGAGGCCAGAAGTGATGTTGCTGCAGCAGACCTGGTCTGCTAGGGCCAGGTGGGTGCCCCATCCCTATACCCTCGTTCCCACCAGCTTTGAAACCTGGAAATGAGAATCTTGGCCTGGTTTTGAGACCAGGCCCCTTTGATGAATCCCTCTCTTTGCTCCCAGATCACCTGTTTTACTACATGACAGGTAATTCCACCACCACCACCACCATCCTGAGCCACCTACCCCTCAGCCCTGCGCCAAACCTCAGCCAAGCTGGCTCTCTGGTGGAAGTCCCAGCAGATTGTACTCTCTAGCCCACCCACTTTCTGGGCCTGATCTTGGAAGCATGGCCTCACCTGAGACTTGCTGTCAAGGTCGGTAGCCGGGGCAGCAGCAGGGCCAGTGGCTTGGTCCTTGTGCAGCAGCTGGAGGCCCAGGCTGGAAAGCTCCTTCTTGATGCCCAGCATGATGGCCGAGTGGTTCTCATAGTGTTGCAGCTGCTCCGAGAGGTGGCGCATGCTCTCCCGTACCACCTCATTCTCCCGGCTCAGGTTGGTCTTGACGCTCTGTGGAGGTGGCACTCAACAGCTTTCCCCTGCCAGCTTCCTTGGACACCCTGCCCCCCCCCCCGGAGGACCCCCCAGCTTCCATTCAGAGGCCTTGCCACCCCACCTCCTGCCCAGTGTTTGGTGGTGGCGGTGGGTGGTGCCAGCGGGCAAGCACATGTGGAACCAAGCAGGCTGCTAAAAGACCTGTAGCTATTGTTCTTTCCAAGGTAATAAAGGAATGGATTAAAAATTAGAAATTGCCTGATCCTGATACTAAATTTTAAAAATACAAAAGGGTGCAAACCCCTGTGTCCCTTCCACCTGTGTCTCAGTATGAGGTGGGCTTTCTCACTACAGGAATTGTTCTGTGCTCTGTAAGATGGTTGGCAGCATTCCTGGCCTCGACCCCTCCCCCCAAGTTATGACAACCAAAAATATCCCCAGGAATTGTCAAATGCCCCCTAATCATGCTTGGTTGAGAACCGCTGAAATAGGGGAAGACGGAGAAAAACTTGGGGCCTTGGCTGGCTGCTTAATCCACTGCTCCCCCCTCCTCCCCACCCCTCGCCTCCTCCCCACCCCTCGCCCCATCGTCCTCTGGCAGAGAGAGCCAGCCCCTCCCGAGGAGGCTGGTCTCCCCAGCACCATGGAGTATTAGCCAGCAGCTTTTGATTTCCATGGGGTTATCAGTAAACCATGGGTAACAGAAGCAAAGCACGGATAATACAAAACAGAAGATAAGTTTTTAAAAAATCATTTCTCTCTGGCTTTGGAAATAATTTCTGATTTGTTCCAGGCCTAGCAGGCTGACCCTCCAGAGCACCCAGCTCAGAGCTCTGTGAAGTAACTTAGTATTTCTGGAGAATGCAGGCTACAGGTCAGAGAAAGGCAACTCCAGAGCCTGGCATGGACAGGAAGTAGCGGTGACAGCAGAAACACCACAAACACCCCCTTTCTCCCACACGGGCATGGCCTTGGCACAGGGCAGGCCCTCACTAAACTCATTATTGAATAATTGTGTCCTCACCTCTGGGATTAATAAACAGTTAAGCTCCCATCCTGGGGCACAGGATGCCAGGCGCCCCCTCCCTCTGGAAAGGACTTTGGGAAAGGAAGCCCCACGCCTGCTCCCGGCAGCTGCATGTCTCCAGGTTCCAAGCGGCCCGGATGCAGGAAACAGGCGGAGGCCAGGCTGTGCCAGCAGATATGCAAACCTTGAACCTGAAGCCTGGACCCCTATACTCACTCAACACTGTCCCCATCTTCTGGAGATAGTCGCAGCCACCCAGTGTCTCTGCAGGTGGGTGCCGGGAGAGTTGAGCAGCCTGACCTTGGGGGATTGTGCAGTCCTGCCCTGCAGCACCACTCCAGGGGCCCCTGCTGAGTGGCATCCTGTGTGAAGATGGTCCTGAGAGCTATACACTGGATGGGCCCTGGTCTTGGTAAACTGAGAACCCAGCTACCAGCAGGGCCTTTGCTCTCTGCAGCCCTCAAACTTCCTGCAAGGCCCTGAAGGACAGATCTCTTCCCTTAACAGCTGGGCCTGTGACTTACATTCCCTTCCCAGTTCCTTTCCCAGTTCCTTCCATTGACATCCAGCTTCCAATGGCCACCAGGATCAAGCCAGAATGACCTTGGACTCCTCAGACATCTCACTTGGTCACAACACCAGCCTGGCCTGCGGCTTGAGCCCGCTCTTACCTCTTCCAGCATGTTCATCTGGGAGGCCACTTTCTGGACGTAGGCGTGCACCTTCATCAGGTCCATGCTGTAGAGGGTGCCCTCCAGGAGATCCACAATGGACTGCAGCTGCCGGAGACAGGGTTGCAGGTAGGGAAGGGGACAAGAGGAGCCCCACAACTGCTGAGAACTTGCCAGAACCCCATGGCTCAGAATGGCCTGCTCAGACCTAAGTGCTCACTAGAGCCAGCCTGCTAATAAGCATAAGAAAGGCAACTGATTCCATCTTTCAAGCACTTAACTGTGCTAGGCACTGTGGGAGAGCTTTTGTGAGCTTGCTTCTCATAAGCCCACAAGGTGGTCCTTGAAGGAGCTCCATCCACACCCCCTGAGGTCTCTCTTACTGTGTCTGTGTCCATCCCTGGCTAACTGTCTACACCTGGACCTTTCTTTGGAAGACTGCCCTAGGGCTACCGGAGCCTCTGTGTTCCAGAAGTGCCTGGGATTGGAGGCCTGGGCACTTAAGCAATGGCTGACCAGGATAGGCATTGAAATGACTGCCTTGCTCCAGTATGGAGCTGTGATTCACACTCCAGACTCCCCTGGGGACTGGTGGAGCTGAGGCTGAGTCTCTGCCTGATATCACGCCCTTCCGGCTCCTGCCTCATCCCTGTCCTAGTTCTCCCCCTATGCGACCCGCTTCTTCTAGAAGCACGCTCATAATAAATTATTTGCAACGGGAGGACTGGTAGGGAGTGACCACGGTCAAGGCAACCACGAGGAACTACTGAAGCCAGAACGAAGACTGAACATGGTATTGGGACAGGAGGAAAGCGTAAA